TCTATTGAATTTTTTATTGGACAATCATTTCTTAAACCAAAATGTCCTTTCTTATTCTGATTGTTCTTTTAACAACTTCGCCTTGTGGCTGACCAAACTGTTTTAACCTCCCATCACCCTTACCCATTTCACAGCTCCCCAATTTATTAAAGTTGCCTTTCCATATTTCCCAGGTATTTTTTGTGCGTGGCCTCTAGATTATAAACACATACATAGCTTCTGCCAAGACTTGAAAGGCAGTAGTGAAGCTCTTGGGTCTATGCAGCCCAACTAGCAATCACAGTTATAAAGTCCTTTGCTTTTCCTGCAGCAAAGAGAATGTATGATGTCTAGTCTCTAGATTTTTGAGTGACTAGATGGATTTCCACTAAAACCACTACCATATCACTCACCACGGCAAAAAACTAAATTTTCCTAGTAGCCTTCACTTCCCTAACACTATTCCAGAAGTACGCTCCCCACACACACCTGCCCCAGGTATTCTGTCACTCCAATCCCATCTCAGTGTTTCAACCCATCACTCCACATAATCCCACCCTTACCCCGACACAGACACATCCATGTTGAGATTGGAAAGTGACTTGTGTTACTATTCTTCCCATCACCCAGAGCATTGTCTTCCATGAAATTCCAAGGCCCAATACTCTAGGCTCACCTTTTTATATCTTAAATTAGAGCTATAGTAATTTATTAATACCTGTATTTCATTACCAATTGTATTGCTAAAGAGGCTAAAAATTAAACTATGAAACACAAACTTACCAGTCCATGAAACTTGGACATTTTTGTTTCTAGCAGTTAAACACCTCCCTCTTCCTTGAGGCAATGTGCCTCAAAATGTACCTTGGAGGGGACCACTGAATTTAAGGGAAAAAATTAAATTCTCCAACTTAATATTTGCAAAATATTATCCCTGTCACACATTCTTAAGAGATTAAGTAAACATATGGGATAGTCACATGGCTATAAAAATGTTTTTAAAATCTTAACTGACAGATACAAAAACAAATGTCTTACAGCTAGACTGAAGTTCTGTCTACCAATCTGTGCCTTCTCAACTTCCACACTGTTACTTTTACCATTCCCCAAAATAGAATTTATGAACTTACATTCAAATTACATAATGACAATTGTGCCTTAATTATGATAATGGTATTTATCACTTACACATTGAACAAGTTTTACTATTAATTATATGTAAAAACACAACAGCTTTAACAATTATGTGGTATGTTCATTTTTTTAAAGATCTGAAATAACTATATATATATTATACATATATATATATACAAACATTCACACATACACGAAGAAAAAAAATAGGTGTTTAGTAAAGTGCCTTCACTCTGAAACCCAACTCATTTTGTTAGATAGAAAATATGAATTATCACTAATTTAAGTTTTTAAATTATAAGTATTAATACCTAAAATCAGTTCATTCAATTTATAATTTTTTGCTCTCAGTATGAGAGGTTTTTCCTAATCTATAACTTTTTTTTTTACTTTAACATCTAGCACCATTAAATTGATGCTAAAGTTGGGAGTACAGTAGTGGGTATGTTATTTGTTATTAGTCAGACCAGGAGGGTAGAAATAAAATTTAATAAGTTAAAACCTTAGTCCTAGGGTTAGATGGTGTTTATCCAGATATCTCACATGCGAAAGCTGCCATGATCATCATCTTCTTTCACACTGTGGTCTTTGCCATTTTCTCCTCTCCTGTTCTTGATATAATCTAGTTGTGGCTTCCTCCCATGATAAAATAGCACAAACATCCCCTATCCTTGTTAATGTTACTGGGCCGTGGAGTGGTACTATCTTCCAGATTCCGGTAGTGTCACACATCCTGACTCAAGGATCTAGCGTCCTAGGGGGTTAGACCTCCTGTATTCTACATCTTCCCCCAGCGACCGGCTCAGTCTGTGCACATCATGAGAAATATTGCTGAAGGTCAACGATCACTCTGGGCTTTCTGATAAAGACGACGAATCACCACAGGGTAATTTTAGCACCCAGCGCCCAAACTGTAAGCGGGTTTGAGGCTGTCCTGACATACAGATGTCACCAGACGACCTATGAAGAACCAGCAGAAGGAATGCAAGAGATTTGACAGCTGTGCCTTCGGCCGCCAACTTTCAAGTCTGCCAGTTGGTTATTGAAACATTCCTCAGCCAGAAGCGCCACTTCGGAAAGGAGTGGCTGCTGGTGACAGCTGCGGAATCCACACCCGCCCACACCTAGCTCAGCGCAAGGCACGCCGGGACATCGTCACCAAGGCAACCGGCCGGTACGCCGTTGTCATGGAGACCGGTGCGCGCCTCCGAGGGCCTAGCGGAGCCGCCGCCTCCACTCGCACCCGGTGGGATGCTTCGCCGAGGCTCTAAGGCCTCTGAAAGGCGAAGACACGTGAGCGAGAGCCTCGGCTGGCAACAAGACCAGGCGCTGAGCAGCAGCATCTACCTCCTACGAGAGCTGGGCCCCACTGGCTTCCTGCTGAGGGAGGAGGAGCCGGAAAACAGGAATTTCCGAGTAACTACCGCCCCCAATTCGCTTCTGCCCATGACCCTCAGGCCCACCCACGACGATCCCAGCCCAGCCACCCTCACGATACCTGTGGACACTTGCTGCCTCACCCCAAAGGCGAATCCCCGTTAGTGTTCCAGACTCTAAAGACGTGCAAATAACAGGGAAATAGTATTTTTTAGAAAAGTTTCTTTGCTGGAGGTTAGGACCTCAAATTGCATCCAGCTCTTATAAGATGATGGCCCTTGATCTTTAGGCTTTAAAATGTCAGAAGTTTTATATGAATATTTGGTTTGCATTACATGTGCGTTCTTGGATCCGTTGTTAGCGGTCACTAACCCTGTAAATCAAACGAAATGAAAATTTTAGTCTGCTTACATACTGTAAGTATTGGCTAAATAAATAAAATCAGTTCCCCTTTACTCTGAAGCTATAACAAAGCCCTGTTAAGCGATGGTTTAAACGGCGATGCCTTGGAAAGGCCTTAATGAATAAAAATTCTTTTTAATTTTGCTGAAAGATCGGATATTTCATGTTTGCATATCCCACCCTCACCACTCAAAAATCAGCCACCTCACTACCTCCCAGGAGTTGACTTGGAAAATTTTAATTTAATGCCGTGCGTTTCAAGTACTGAATACCAGTCCGTTCTTATTTAAAACTTCCTTTTTTACTGAGTTGCTTACAACACTTACTGTATTTAATAAATTACTTTGCCAATGTATTCGTGGTGAATAAAATTAGTGTTCTTTAATAAAATTAAATTTAATTAAGTAAATTTACCAATTCAGATGCACAAAACAAAAATTAAAAATGAACTGCCTTACAAAAGTATAGTTGACCCCAAAGTAGAATTTCTTTTCAGTAAGAAGTGTATAGGTTGGGTTTGGGGGGGGCGGGTGATAGCTTTTAAAATTAGATTTATTTTCACCTGCCTGAGTGCAGGTCACTAAAAACCGACATAATTGATAATGCAAGTTTTTAACCAAGGCAATGAGTAAGGAAGTGAAAAATCAGCTTAAATGGTGTCAAGAGTTAAAATTTCCCAGTAGATATTCAACCTCTTGGAGTCACCTAAACTAAATTACCTCTTCATATCTATTTTAATCCAATTATATATCAACTTAGTTTTGTTCTAACTCTGAAAATTAACTGGCCTTTCTTAAGTATGCATTTTTTAAAGGTTTTTCTAGGAAATCCTCATGTTTGTAACTGTTCCACATTTCTGAAAGGAGGGGAACTTTGTAAGCATATATGCTGGTAAGTGACTTTTTAATGAAGATTTTCA